TATAATCTTCAGGTGTTTGGGAGTGAAAATGGGCAAGGGCCACTGGATGGATTCTCATTTATGTAGCAACCTTGCAACATAACTCTAGGACATAGAGACAAAGCAATTTACTTCTGGCCTAAATTCAAAGACTTCTTTCCTAAGATAAAATTGCCCTAATGTTTCTTGACCTGCATTTCTGGAAAATTAGAATTCTTTTCAAATGTTGACATCTGTTGACTTTTATAAAGAATACTATGAGCTTTTAAAAATTATACTTTTTCCTCTCACGATTTGTAAGCTCTTCTCTGTGATGAAGAGGCAAGGATACCTGGAAAGCCCTTTTCTTAGTATATTGGGTTGATAGTGGTGTTGTGGTTTTTGGGGCAATCCCAGACTGAGTGATCAGGTGGTTTTTCTTAGCCAGCATTGCCTCCCCTAGGTCCTTGTATTTCATTACTGTGGGATAAACCCCGGAGCAGCAGCCTGAAATCCCAAACAGCAGGCTTTAATGGAGATTGGGACCCTTAGTTACAAAGCCAAGGTCCTCTCAATTAGACTTTTGATGGGTCACAGAGGAGTAAAAGAGGGAGGGCAGGAGAGTCATTCACCGACCCAGGTTCCAGCTGGTTGCTTGCTTGCTGCCAGATTGCACAAACCACTACATACTGTCTCTTTTGTTTCTAGGTACAAGGTTGGTAGAGAGCATTAATAACCAGAGCTTTCATCAGATGCTTTGATTGAATAATTAAAAATCCTTCAGTCTTATAACTGAGCAGCAGCACTGCAAAATATCATGGCTTGTCTCTTTGTAAGCAAAATGCTTGCTTTAGTCTCAACTCCAGCGTCTTTGCTTACAGCACTTACCGCTGTGTTTCTGAAGCAGCAGTTTAGATTGAATGAGGACTGAACTGCTAATGTGCTTCTCATTTTGTGAGGCAAAAGGTGCCAGCTATGACAAAAAGGCAGCTGGCATCTTCTTCAGCTAAAGGAAATCTGAGTTACATTTACAGCCTTAGAGTGAATTATTTAATACCTTCGATGTTTAAACATGAACATTTCAAAAATTCGAAGAGGATTCATCAGGGTGGGTTACCCCTCCTTCTGGCAGAATCTTGTCATTTTATTTTATTATTTGTTTGTTTGTTTATTTATACCCATCTACACTGGGAAGATTAAGTCATTTTAAATATGACTTCTTTCTAATATAATTTTCTCTCATCACTGGAAATTTAAAAATGTAAAAAAATTAAAAATTAAAAAATGTAATAAATATAGTCCTCTTCCCCCAGATAAACACCTGGAAAGAAAAGAAATCTGAAGGTTAGATTTCATCAAGCCTTTTTCACGGATTTTTTTACTTATTTATATATTTTAATAAATGCCTGAGTATAGCAGACAACAATTTTTTCAATTTGTTAATTTTTGTCCTCTTCTAGAAAGTTCATTGAAATAAATCTCTTCAAGGACCAAATTGATGCCAAGTCGTTTTCATGTATGTCAACTCATCTATTGTGTAAATGCCCATATCTATTAAATAAAAATGTATCAACTTTTTCTTGTATAATATTCTTCACTATCCAGAAAGAAAAAGAGAAGAATTAGTTCTCTAAGTTCGAGACATTTTTGAAGTCCCTAGGAAAACAGGTGCCAACTAGAATGACGGCAAAGGACATAAGAGAGTAATAATACAATGACAGTTAAAATCTCACTGTGATTTGTGGAAATTTGGATTAAAAAAAACCCAACAAACAACTTTATAGTTTTTCTAATTTTAAAATTCTCTAAACACTTTTCTGTGTATATTTTCATGGCCTTACCAAAATTTACAAGTTCAGGGACAATGATACAAGATTTCAGCTACTTCAGTTTTATTTTAGGTAGTTTATATAGTACTTACAAATAAAAGTACAAGAAAAACACAAATGCCCAAGGAAAAGCTTGACTCACTGCACATAGATTTTATTTAACACAACTAATGTTTGCCATGTGCCAGGTATTGTTCTAAGCACTTAAAATATTCTCTTATTTTATCCTCTTGACCAGGGGTTGGCAGAACTTTTTACATGAAGGGACAGATAGTAGATACTTTAGAATTGTGTGTGTCTACGAGAGGAGGCACTAAAAATTTCTATTCATGGTCTTCTTTGTTTCTTTGTTTGGTTTTTGTTTTGACAACCCTTTAAAAATGTAAAAATAATTCTTACTTCAACAGGCTGACCATAGGCCAGATTTTGCCCATTAGATGTAGTTCGTTGACCCCTGCTCTCGGCCATCCCCCAGGTATTATCCCCATTTCAGAGACAAGAAAACTGAGGCTGAGAAAAATTACTTGACTTGCCCAATTTAAGCAGCTTGGAAGGGACCTAACTTCCAAGTCTTTGTTATCAGTCTGTACACCATGGCACAAATANCAGGTTCCAGCTGGTTGCTTGCTTGCTGCCAGATTGCACAAACCACTACATACTGTCTCTTTTGTTTCTAGGTACAAGGTTGGTAGAGAGCATTAATAACCAGAGCTTTCATCAGATGCTTTGATTGAATAATTAAAAATCCTTCAGTCTTATAACTGAGCAGCAGCACTGCAAAATATCATGGCTTGTCTCTTTGTAAGCAAAATGCTTGCTTTAGTCTCAACTCCAGCGTCTTTGCTTACAGCACTTACCGCTGTGTTTCTGAAGCAGCAGTTTAGATTGAATGAGGACTGAACTGCTAATGTGCTTCTCATTTTGTGAGGCAAAAGGTGCCAGCTATGACAAAAAGGCAGCTGGCATCTTCTTCAGCTAAAGGAAATCTGAGTTACATTTACAGCCTTAGAGTGAATTATTTAATACCTTCGATGTTTAAACATGAACATTTCAAAAATTCGAAGAGGATTCATCAGGGTGGGTTACCCCTCCTTCTGGCAGAATCTTGTCATTTTATTTTATTATTTGTTTGTTTGTTTATTTATACCCATCTACACTGGGAAGATTAAGTCATTTTAAATATGACTTCTTTCTAATATAATTTTCTCTCATCACTGGAAATTTAAAAATGTAAAAAAATTAAAAATTAAAAAATGTAATAAATATAGTCCTCTTCCCCCAGATAAACACCTGGAAAGAAAAGAAATCTGAAGGTTAGATTTCATCAAGCCTTTTTCACGGATTTTTTTACTTATTTATATATTTTAATAAATGCCTGAGTATAGCAGACAACAATTTTTTCAATTTGTTAATTTTTGTCCTCTTCTAGAAAGTTCATTGAAATAAATCTCTTCAAGGACCAAATTGATGCCAAGTCGTTTTCATGTATGTCAACTCATCTATTGTGTAAATGCCCATATCTATTAAATAAAAATGTATCAACTTTTTCTTGTATAATATTCTTCACTATCCAGAAAGAAAAAGAGAAGAATTAGTTCTCTAAGTTCGAGACATTTTTGAAGTCCCTAGGAAAACAGGTGCCAACTAGAATGACGGCAAAGGACATAAGAGAGTAATAATACAATGACAGTTAAAATCTCACTGTGATTTGTGGAAATTTGGATTAAAAAAAACCCAACAAACAACTTTATAGTTTTTCTAATTTTAAAATTCTCTAAACACTTTTCTGTGTATATTTTCATGGCCTTACCAAAATTTACAAGTTCAGGGACAATGATACAAGATTTCAGCTACTTCAGTTTTATTTTAGGTAGTTTATATAGTACTTACAAATAAAAGTACAAGAAAAACACAAATGCCCAAGGAAAAGCTTGACTCACTGCACATAGATTTTATTTAACACAACTAATGTTTGCCATGTGCCAGGTATTGTTCTAAGCACTTAAAATATTCTCTTATTTTATCCTCTTGACCAGGGGTTGGCAGAACTTTTTACATGAAGGGACAGATAGTAGATACTTTAGAATTGTGTGTGTCTACGAGAGGAGGCACTAAAAATTTCTATTCATGGTCTTCTTTGTTTCTTTGTTTGGTTTTTGTTTTGACAACCCTTTAAAAATGTAAAAATAATTCTTACTTCAACAGGCTGACCATAGGCCAGATTTTGCCCATTAGATGTAGACCCCTGCTCTCGGCCATCCCCCAGGTATTATCCCCATTTCAGAGACAAGAAAACTGAGGCTGAGAAAAATTACTTGACCTGCCCAATTTAAACAGCTTGGAAGGGACCTAACTTCCAAGTCTTTGTTATCAGTCTGTACACCATGGCACAAATATTCGTTGACCCCTGCTCTCGGCCATCCCCCAGGTATTATCCCCATTTCAGAGACAAGAAAACTGAGGCTGAGAAAAATTACTTGACTTGCCCAATTTAAGCAGCTTGGAAGGGACCTAACTTCCAAGTCTTTGTTATCAGTCTGTACACCATGGCACAAATATCACTGCTCGGTTATGTTCCCTTCATCTAATCACCCTGATACATAGATAGAATAAGGCTCCAGTGAATTTATTTATCAAACTTTGAAAAAGAAAAATATGAACATAAGCAGATGTTGTCAAATAATTTTTAAAATGTATCTTACTTTGTGACTTTAAAAGATGTATACTTTACCTTATTAATATCCCACAGAACCAGTCTGCTTTTCCGTTTTGCAAATTCATAGGCAGTCAGCCTGCCTATTCCATGCCCAGCTCCAGTAATGAGAACAATCTCCCCAGCCACAGATTTTCTCTTTTGGGGAATGAAAAACTTCACCAATGACTCCAGGTAGGAGTAGACGATGGTGATCAGAAGCAGGAGGATATCCAAGACAATGTTCATGGCACTGCTCTGCCCTCTTCCTTCTGGATCAATCCTTGTGTAGTTCTAGGAAAGAGTTGCCCTCTGCACAGAGCTCCAGGGAAGAAGTGTGCTCAGGTGTTAATGCCGAAGATAAGTTGGCTTTGGAGGCAGGATTTGTCCGTGTGTTCTAATGGGTTGAATACACATTGAGTTTTTGAAGTGATGCCAATTGCTAGTAATAGCTTAGCTCAGGTCCAGAGAACCCAAGAAAATGTGCTCTCTGGACTTGTTTATCTGAAAAGCAGTTGTGTACTATGTTTCACCTCTGGAAAGAATTTTAGAAACGTTGAATCAGCTCACTATCTGTTGGTATCTTTCTATAAATTGCTTTTTTTGTGCTTTGTTTTTTTCAGTAGGGAGAAAGAGAAAGTAGAGATATTATCTTAAAGTTAAAGTATGAGTCAACCAAACTTAGTTATTTGATTCATTTATTCATGAAGCTTAGCCACAATATTTCAGTTGGCTAATCAATTTACATGTAATGCCCATTTCCCTGAAAATCTCTTGAGTTTGGGGGAGATTTTAGGTTATAAAATCATCAGTTCTCTTCATGGTAATATTGGAAAGAGCATTAGACCAGGTGTCAGAAGTCTCAACTTAAAGGTGGTGTGACTTCTGTCTTAGTTGGTTTGGACTGTTATAACAAATTACCGTAGACCAGGTGACTTACACACAGCAGAGGTTGGGAAGTCCAAGATCATGGCAGATTTTTATTTTTTTATTTTTTGTGACCGGTAAGGGATCGTAACCCTTGGCTTGGTGTCGCCTGCACCACACTCAGCCAGTGAGCGCACTGGCCATCCCTATAATTTTTTTATTTTTTGTGACCGGTAAGGGATCGTAACCCTTGGCTTGGTGTCACCTGCACCACACTCAGCCAGTGAGCGCACTGGCCATCCCTATATAGGATCCGAACCCACGGCCAGGGCACTCCCAGCGCCACACTCTCCCGAGTGAGCCACGGGGTCGGCCCTCATGGCAGATTTTATGTCTGGTGAAGACCAGCGTCCTGATTTATACATGGCTGTCTTTTCACTGTAACCTCACATGACAGAAGGGGGAAGAGAACTCTCCGCAGTCTGTTTCATAAGAGCACTAATCCACAGCAGAGCCCTCATGAACCAATCACCTCAAAGGCCCAACTTCCTAATACCATCACATTGGGGATTAAGATTTCAACATATGAATTTTGGGGAACAATGTTTATAGCAACTTCAAATAGCTCAAAAGTGGAAACAACCCAAGTGTTTGGATAAACAAAATATGGCATATCCATACAATGGAATATTATTCAGCCTTAAAAAGAGAGGAAATTCTGACAAATGCTACAACATGAATGAACCTCAAAGACATTATGCTAAGTGAAATAAGCCAGACACAAAAATACAAATACTATATGATTCCATTTATATGAGGTACCTCCAGTAGTCAAATACATACAAACAAACAGCAGAATGGTGGTTTCTAGGGGCTGGGGGCAAGGGGAATGGGGAGTTATTGTTTAATGGGTACAAAGTTTCAGTTTGGGATGATGAAAGTTATGGAGATGCATGGTGGCAATGGTTGCACAATGATGTGAATGTACTTAATGCCACTGAACTATGTATTTAAAAATGTTTAAAATGGTGAACTTTATAGTATGTATATGTGACTTCAAACAATCCTATTTATTTTCTTTACACTACAGTTTCCTCTTCTGGAAAACGGAGATAAAAATAAACTGCTTTACCCAACACAGACCTTTTTTTTTTTTT